TTTTGTGATCCTCTTTGACGTCATTATACGGGCTGCTTTCAAGGCAGATGCATCTCGGAATATCTCTGCGAAGGTTTAAGAACTTTTTCCACTGAAATCCCAAGGGTGCTTTTTTTTTTTTTTTCAAGAGGCAAGTAGACTTCCTTTGTTTTTCTTTGAAGACGTTTCCCTTCTCAGCCAAGAAGCTTCTTCAGCTCTGACCAGATGGTGGGGAAGGGAAGGATTTATACTCTTTGCAGACAGCTGGTCATTTGCATCCTTTTAGAGGGGCACTGAGGCCACTTGGAGGTTTGTCTGTGTCCTCAGGGTCACCTGAGTGATGCAAATGGGTGTGGCGCCTCCTTGGAACTGGTGAAAGGACCAGGCAGATTGGAGATAGGTGATGTCGTCTCCCTCCCCGTCTGTTGAGAGGGAGCACTTCAATTTGGACATATAGATGGCCTCTTTGAACCCTCTTTCAAACCAGCGGTCCTCTCTGTCCAAAAGGTGGACTTTGCTGTTCTCCAAAGAGACATCGTTTGTCTCTTTGACATCGTTTGTGTCTGGGTGTTTCATCCTCGCGGGTGGACAAGCTTAGCATATTCTTGGGTTTGAAGGGTGAACGTATGTTGTGTGGGCTGGACGTCCTCCTGAGCTTTTCTGATCTTCCTGCAACGTATGGAATGAGAAGGTTCCTTCGTTTGTTGTCAAGTCCAGTTGCCTCTTGAAAAATGACCTCTGGAACAAAGAATCTCCATTGACATTTTTTTTTTACTAAAGGCAGCATATAGTCCTCAACTTATGACCACAATTGAGCTCAAAACATCCATGACTAAGTGAGACATTGATATTGGCTCCATTTGGTGACCTTTCTTGCCAATTGTTAAGTCAAGCCAACAAACCAACGCCAACCCCAACAAACTCCCAAGATGAACGTTCTCTCAAATTTCCATTTTATTAGCGTTGTTGTCCTATTGGCACATCTGGGAAAACCCGAATCTGAGAGTTCCGTGTTTTCCCTTCCCAAAAGAGAAATCAAGGATCCATCCCCTGCGTCCGTCAGTCCATCACAGGGCCCACGACATCCCGCAAGACGCTCCCCTCCAGGTGCAGGGCAACATGCCCTTGACACTGAGAAAAAAATGTTGTGGTGTCTAATCTTCTACCTCACTATGAAATCCCTCCTCCCCAATTCCCAGGCACTGAATGTGGCAGCCTCGAAACTTCCGAGTAAAATATGACTTCTAAGGCTGACAGGGGTTCCTGCTTGAGCAGGGGGTTGGACTAGAAGACCCCCAAGGTCCCTTCCAACTCTGTTATTCTACCTTGGGATGGAGAGCAAGCCGTGAGGAACACATTTCAACTAGCCAGGTGCTGTCCCTCAAACGCCATCTGATTGTGAAACTCATGAAGCTTGTTTGAAACAAAATAAGACAGGGTCTTATTTTGGGGGGAAACACGGTAGCCCTCGACTGACGACCCCAATCGAGCCCAGAACATCCACGACTAAGCAAGACATTGAGGTTTGCTCCGTTTTGTGACCTTTTTTTTGCCATAAGTCGTTAAATCAAGGACTACTTATACCTGCCCCAGTTCAACGCCGGTGCCTTGAAAACCCCTGCTCAGTTACTCGTCTTCCTCTTCTTCCTCTTCCAGGTGCCCTCGGCGCTTCTGACCTTCGTGTGGGACGCCGAGGTCATGGAGGACATCAAGGCCTCCAGGGGGGAGCACATGGGAAGCGTGCTGAAGCCCGACCTGCTGCTCACGGTGCAGATGCTTTCCTGAAAATAAAAGGCGCCGTGGGGTTGGATCCGGTTCCGTCCTGTGTGGTCCCCGACTCTTCCGAAGCCGGCCTCTCTGACGTCCCCTGCTTCCTGCCCTCTAGAGCCACAGATGGGACTTTTTCTGGCTGGCATCGGCCGGCTGGCGAGAGAGAGGGGGCAGCTGCCAGCAGAACCGCTGTTCCAGCTTCCCTGGGCTTGGCACATGGAACTCTCCAATGGGGGAGGATGGTTTTCCAGCGTCACTTCGTCACACTTTTGTGTGTGTGTATTTGTTTGGAGTTTCATCGGTCCCCATTTTTACTGATCTTTTTCTCACTTTGAAGCACCTTTGGGGTGGAAAAAGATCCCCCCCCCCCCGCCTACCCAAAGGGGGCCATGGGGGGGCCAAAAAGCCCCCCCCCCCCCCGGTTACGCTGCCAGTGCCGCTGGCTGGTGTTTCTGGCTGATGGTTGCGTCACCGATACTAAGCGTACAGGAGGTCCCGAATCCCATTGAATGTATTATTATGATTATTATTTTAGGTCGTGGATAAGCTGTTAGCTTTATGGGGAGAAGAAGGAACGCACACTACTCTAGCCAACAAGAGCTTGTGGCTGCTGCTGCTGCTGCTCTTAAGTTGTAGGTTGTGGGAAAGAGTTCTGAAGAATCCAGTCCCATGGTTTATTTTTTTTTCCCCCCAGTATGTTTACGGGAGGCCGTTTCGGGGAAGGAATTGTGGTAAGAAATGCACTTTTATAAAAATGCTGATTTTTGTTTTTTGGAGGGAATGTCTCTCAGATGTGGGAGCAGATCCCTCGGGGATAGTACAGCTATCTGGAGTCTCCCTCTGCCCTGTTTTTGTGGACTTGCTAGTTTCTGTCCGCTTCCTCCGTTCGTTCTTGGGGAGGAATAAGGACCGCGGCTTTAGAGCTTTCTCGGATATTGCTGGGGAGGGCAGGACGAGTAGATGAAAATGTGGAGCCGCGCAGCCCCCACTGCCTCACCCCCCATTGTAGCAGTCGGGAGTGAACGGTTTTTGGTTTTGTCCATGGGCTCAAATAAAGCCGAAAAAGTCCTTTTCTTTCCCTGCTGCGCCCCCCCCTCCAAAAAAATCCATTTTTTTTTTCTTCCAAGAAGGCTCTGGATTTAATTGATGTATCTTTTTTCCCCAGATTCATAACCAAAGTGTGAGGCATAAAAACTGTACAATTAATCCTGTTTTGATGTTTAAAAGAAAGGCAGCTGTTTAAAATGTTTGATGGGCTGTGTGTTTGGGAGGGGGTGATTGTTCTGACCTAGGCTTCTCAAGATCATGAAGCAGACTCCTCGTCCTGATAAAAAAAAAAAACCTTTTATTTAGGTCAAAGGGTCGAATTCCTCTCCAGAAGTAGTCCCGGCCAACAGTCTTTCAAGAGATCCCACAATTACAGACTTTTATCAGGCTTGGAGAATTGCCAGGACGATATCTTTCAGACGTCACACTGTAGCAGACAATACTTAGCATGATGTCAGGAACAGATCTTCACCCTAATGAACTACTTTGTCTCCTGCAAAACCCCACTCCCGTTTCGCTCTTCTTTCTTCCCTCTGGGAGGGGCCATTCACCATCCACTGAGCCTTTACTCCCGAGTCGACCCTTGTTTAACTGTTCCCTTCTCCTGACAGCTCTGTGCATGCGCACACTGGAACAGGCTCCATCTGTTCTTCTTCCCCACTGATCTCCGACTCCAAAGGCAGCTGATAACTGTCAGACGACCCTGGCCCCATCTCTGCCTCCGACACAGAGCCCTCCTCAGAGCCTTCCCCAGACTCCAGGACTGGCCCAGGTTCCTCCCCAACTTCCTCACTGTCCAAGTCTGCTGCCAGCTTTGCTGGCCGATGGCGGGCCACAACAGCAATTATCTAATGGCTCAAGGGATTAGTCCCGGAAGGTGGATCTGGTACTGCCTGGGCCAAGAGTTGCAGAAACAGACCCGTGTTCCTGGAATGGAGACTCGGCTGCTTTTAATAGCATAAGGCCGATGCGTCCAGTGTGTCGGAAGTCTTGTGATTAGCCCTTTCTAGCAGCATCTTTACAAGATAAGATCTTGATCTGAATTCCTGGAGCAGCCTAAATTATGAGCTAGATTGGCAGGGATGGCTGGAGAAACACTCGCTAAAATCATCTGTCTTGAAATCTTGTGGCTTTGGCCCGTTCTACACAATGCAAAGAGGAAACATGCCAGCGGTTTGGGGAGTGGCGTCAAGTTGGCCACGCCCACCCAGTCGGCCACGTCCCCCCCAAAGTCAACCACAGCCCTGATGCAGCCCTCAATGAAACTGAGTTTGACCCCCCCTGATGTAGAGCTTCCTGAACAAGAGCTTAAGGAAATCGTGCTTGTCAGCGAATTGTACCTGCTTGATGGGAGGGAGTGGAAGGCGCTTGTTGAAAGCCCAGAAGGGACAGGATCGGGGCTTTTAGAGGGGGCAACAAGGACACAAGGGCACAGTGGGGGTGGTTGCAGAACGCTCACCTCTGCTTGCAGCTGCCCTGGAGGAGGGGGGGAAAAAAAGTTTGCTTGGAAAGGTGAGTTAGAACTCGGAAAAGGGGTGAGATGCAGAGACCTCTGTCAATAGAAGGAAATATTTTGTAGCTCAGAGTTGAACTGTGAGGCCCTTGGTGCTCTCCTGCCAACATTTCATGACCCAACCGGGTAATATCAGTGCCAAGGGTGTGCGAGTTATTGGGGGGGGGGGGGGGGGAAAGGGGGGGGTCCTTGGTTTCCTCTGACCTTGGTTGGTTTCTTACAAACATTTCGTGACCCAGCTAGGTAACATCATCAGTGCTAGAAGGGTTTGCTCTCTGTTTATATACAGTGTCTTGCATGACCAATTCAGACCAAAAAAACTAACAACATACAACAGCAAAATCAAGGAACCAAGAACGCCCCCACCAATACTGACAAGCCACTTGCTTATAAACAGAGAGCAAACCCCACACGCCTTTCAAGCATTGATGATGTTACCTAGCTGGGTCATGAAATGTCTTTAAGAAAACAGCCAGGTTCAGTCAGCAAGATTTCACGTGAGCAGCCATCCTAACCCCAAAGATTAAACACTTTTCAAATTTAGGTGGGGGGGAAAAAAAAAAGAAGAATCGCGGTGCCTTCTACAGAGCCCATCAAAAATTCAATAATGCTTTTATTAGAAGAGATTATATGCCCTTTGTTTGATCCACCTCCACCCCCCTCCGCCTCCCTCTAAAAAATACGCCTTGAGCGTCCACCGGTTTGGAGCCGAACAAAGTGCTGTCTTCTCTTTACAAGGAACACAGTACGTTCAAGTATCTCGTACAGGGGAAAAAAAAAAAGATACACAAGGGTTTTACAATAAGCTAAAAGAATTCTACATACGTACAAAAAGGGGAGCGGGGGAGGGAAAGAATAGGGATGCATATATCAAAAGGGGTCAGGGAAGTTTCCGGCAGCCGCAGCAGCTGGTTCTGCTTTGGGGGTCTTCCGTTCCGGCGCTGCAAAGGCAACAACAACATTTCAAAAAAAAATATCCCAATTTTGGTAAGGCATAGAGGTGGAAGCCCGGCATCTTTGCCAGGGCACCTCCTGTGAAAATGGGAAAACTCAAATATAAATATGGGGAGATTAGTGCAAGAGAAACTACGGCTTCTATTCTACCATCCTGTTGTGGCCTCTTGGCTGCCGACCCCTCCAACAGCCGAAACAGGAGGAGGAGGCGTGGGAGTCAGGGTCAGTATCTGGGCAACCTGAGAGCACCGAGGGGGAAGAGGGAATAGAGCTGGCACAGAGAGAGAGAGAGAGGTGCAGAGCCTGGGCCGTCCGTCAGCCCCCAGACGGAGAGTCAACAGCCGCCAGGTCTGGAGGTGGCTGATGAGGAAGAGGAGGAACAGCCGGGTCCAGTGCCTGACGCGTGGATGCGCAGAAGGCAGAGGAGAGGAGAGCAGTGGAGATCTATGGGCCGGTCCTTGGGACGGAAGAGCCACCGCTGCTAGCGAGGCCCCACCCTAGCTCTGGGGATAAAAGGCAGGGGGCGGAGATGAACAGGTGTGGCAGGCAACGATTCATCTTCCGGCCAGACGGACTTCTTAGCCTGCGAGAGGAACTTTTTCCTGGGGCTGCCGGCATTCCTGATAAAAGGAATCTTTTGAGTTCACGTCAGAGGTTGTGTTGTGTTTGGGAAGCTGGGTCAGACCGTAGCCCTGTTGAAGCTGGGTGTGTAGCAGGGCCTATTATAACACTCTGTGGAGATTCTCAGTCCTCCAGGTCATGGTTGTCCCAAAAGGTACTTTTTTTCAGGAGGCAACTAGACTTTCTGGTTGTTTTCCTTTGAAGACGTTTCACTTCTCATCCCAGAAGCTTCTTCAGCTCTGACTGGATGGTTGGGAAATGGAAGGATTTGTATTCCTTGCGGACAGCTGGTCATTTGCATCCTTTGAGAGGGTCGTTGAGGCCACTTGGAGGTTGGTCTGTGTCCCAGGGGTCACGTCCTCAAAGAAAAAAAACAAGAAAGTCCAGTTGCCTCCTGAAAAAGCACCTTTGGGATGACCTATTGTAAGTAATTCAAGGGGGTCGGCATGTGTAATATTCCTTCTATATTTCTCTCAACAACCCTTTTGAGGTGAGCTGGGCTGAGAGTGGGGAGCCCAAAAGGCAGGATTTCATGCGTAAGGCGGGATTGGAACTCGGAGTCTCCTGGGGACTGGCCCAAAGTCATCCAGCTGGCTTTCCATGCCTAATGCGGGACTAGAACTCCTGTTTCCAGGGCCAACACCTTAACCACTACACCTTGAAGGGATTTCCTGCCTTTTGTGAGGCCCTTTTTTTTAACGATCACTGCTTGTTGAATATTGAAAGCAAGTTTCTGGAAAGAGGAGGGGTGGTTGCCGCTAAAATGGAAAAAAAAAAAAAATTCCATCCATGCTGTGAATGGATTTGAACTGAATTGTAACTGAGCTTTATTTCTTGTTTATTTCTAATTTTCTTTATTGCCTTGAGGGACTCCGGATTCTTGGTGACTACCTGGACTAACCAGTATCCAAGCTTCTTTGCAAGGTTTGGGGAAGTGCCCCAAAAGTGCTTTTTCAGGAGGCAACTGGACTTCCTTCTTTTTTCTTTGAAAACGTTTCCCTTCTCATCCAAGAAGATTCTTCGGCTCTGACAGGATAGTGGGGAATGGGAGGATTTCTATTCTTTGCAGATAGCTGGTCATTTGCATCCTTCTAGAGGGTTGTTGAGGTCACTTCAAAGAGTGTTCATCCCAAATTGTATAGCTCAACGTTTATAGAGATTCTCAGTCACCCAGGTCATGGTTGTTCCAAGGTTGCTTTTTCAGATAACTGAAAGCACCACACAGGTGACCCTGAGGACACAGAGAAATCTCCAAGTGGCCTCAACGACCCTCTCAAAGGATGCAAAAGACCAGCTGTCTGCAAGGAATATAAATCCTTCCATTCCCCACCATCCAGTCAGAGCTGAAGAAGCTTCCTGGATGAAAAGTGAAACGTCTTCAAAGAAAAAAACAAGAAAATCCAGTTCCCTCCTGACAAAAGCACCTTTGGGACAACTATGACCTGGATGTGACTGAGAATGTCTACAGATATTTGGGGAAGTGATTTTGCCCTCGCTTTGGGGGTTGAGAGGGAAGGACTGGCCCAAGGACAGCTAACTGGTTTCATCCCTAAGGCAGGATCAGAATTCGCAGCCTCCTGGTTTCTAGTCCCATGCTTTTTAACCACCACACCAAACTGACATTGCTGGTTTAATACAAGTTATTGTTCTGGGACCGGCCGAGGGTCTCAACTAGTTTGGGTTAGAGGTCTTTCTCAACTCAGTTGGGTCTTCATGCAATACTGATGTTTAGCCAGCTTGGTTTCCCCCCTCTAGCTGTGGGACTTTCGAATAAGCAAGAATCTACCTGAATTAGCCAGCTTGCCTTGGCTTGGCTGTACATCTACGATGATGCATTCATCGTCGTCATCTTCCTCGGTGTCTGCCTGAAATCCATCCATCTCTGTCATTTCCGCCTTGGAGCAAAAGAGAGGTGTGTCAAACCTTGGCGACAGCCCTCTCAGCTTGGGCGGTTAGAAAAGCAAGACTCTCAAATCCATTGTGAGCGAAAGTAGACTTTACTAAAGCCAAGTGGTTACACTGAAGTAAAGCCAGATCTGAGTTTTTCGTGCCCAAATTAGATTGCGGAATTGGGCCTGGTCTTACGATGAACCGTTCGATGAACTGTCATGACTTACAGCCATAATTGCCGGGCTCATTTATGGTCGTAACTTGAGAACTCTCGGTAACTACTTCACTATGCCCATTGGTCATACCAATAAAACCGTGAACCAAGAGAGAAACGCTCGTGCGGAAGGCTCTGCGTGGCGTTTTCTTATAAGAGGAGTGGGTTCACTTAATGACTATCACAATAATAAGGAAGGAAGGAAAGAAGGAAAGAAAGAAGGAAGGAAGGAAGGAAGGAAGGAAGGAAGGAAGGAAGGAAGGAAGGAAGGAAGGAAGGAAGGAAGGAAGGAAGGAAGGAAGGAAGGAAGGAAGGAAGGAAGGAAGGAAGGAAGGAAGAAAGAAAGAAAGAAAGAAAGAAAGAAAGAAAGAAAGAAAGAAAGAAAGAAAGAAAGAAAGAAAGAAAGAAAGAAAGAAAGAAAGAAAGGCAAAGCTGGGTCAGTCCACATGACGACCAGCTTTGCAACATTGATTACCTCAATTATGGTAATCAATTATGGACATAAGTCGAGGACTATATCCTATGTGAATTAGACCTGGCCTCTCCAATCTGAGTCAGAATCTCTGCCACATTTGGTAAACAAAATGTGAAGCAAAGAATGAGGGTGGCACAGCTTGCTAACGACCAGCAAGGAGGGAGTTACTAACTACTAACAGAAGCCCATCCTTACCTGCTCGGTCCCCGGGGGTCTCATGAACTTGGTTATTGACATGCTTTGCGTCGACTTCCGTTTTGCGGATACTGGGGTGGTCTGGGTTGCCGCGCCTCCTTGCAAACTGCCCGCTTCTTCCTTGGCCACGGATGGAAGCTGGGTAATGTAGTTCCACTGGCAAGGCACAGGCAGGTGCTCCTGGCCAAAGCTCTTCAGGACCTCGGAGTGCACGTACCAACACATCCGATACTCGGGCCTCTTCTCGTAAACAGAGTTCTCGGAGATGATCTTCTTCAGCCTGGCTTTGGAAGGAACGGCGTTCTCGCAGGCCGGAGACTGGCCTTGAGGGACCTTGGAGCTGGCATCTCCGCTGCCCAGGGAGGAGACCGGATTGTTGGGGTCCGACAGCAATGCCAAGCGGCAACGTTCCTGGAACTCATGAATGATGACTTTGCTTCCGTTCACGTTGCCGTGAAGTAGAGGAAGCAGCTGAGCCAGAACTGCAATGGGGCGAAAAGCAGAATCTTAAGTTACACCGAGGGCGTCCCTGGCTGCTGGAGCGAACAGAGGTCACAGAATAAACTGTGGGACACAGAAGGGACCTCGGAGGTTTACTAGCCCACCCCCCCCCCCCCCCCGCTCAAAGAGGAGATCCTATATCATTTCAGACAAGTAGCAAGCAAGCAAGGGGAAAGTTAAGAGTTACTTAATAACCCTGTTCCTAACTTTGAACAACTGCAGTGATTCGCTTAAGGGTTTACAACAAGGGTTGTAAACAGTGGTGGGATGCTGCCGGTTCGCACCGGTTCTACCAAACCGGTAGCACCAGTGAGCAGTTGGCCTCTTTCCTGTACATTATTTCCTTGGTTTTGAGCTCAGCTGATTTGCGCGGTGCGGTTAGGAACGTAAGTCACCTAACAGTTGGGTTGGAAAATATATAAACCAGGATAGACATTTTAATACTGTCTCTTTAAGGGAATGCTAAAGTTGTAATTGGGTGTGGTTCCTCAAAACGGCCATAAGATGGAGCCAGAAACCTGGGTTGTTCTGTCCTATTGTTGAGAGTGTTGCTGTTCCTGCATTTCCCTATTGACTGTTGCTGATCATCGTTATTCTTGGATTTGATGTAAGTCTGTTACTGAACTGTTTATGATACTGGACTTTGTTATTGGATTATCCCTGGACTAAAAACTGACTGCTTTAACCGTGAATGACTTGGACTGTTTTGTTGGACTTTGCTTAACCGTTTACCGGAGGTAAAAACCTACATTTTACTATACAGTATATCTGTGTGCTGGTTGTGTGTTATTCTTCACCACTCTCACTACGTCTCCCTGTGTGCGCTCATTCTCCTAACGGGGAATTACCTCAACAGGCACCTCACCTGTTTGAAGCTGAAAATCGGTGGTTTTTGACTGCTACGCACGCACGCTCTCATAAAACCAGTATTTAAAAAGGTTGAATCCTACCACTGGTTGTAAAACAGGGCAGAATTTGCTTAACAATTCATCTGGTTTAGCAACAGAAACTTTGGGCTCAGCAGTGGTAATAAGTCGAAGACTACCTGTATTGTGAAACTGAGGGCTACTTTAGACCTTCTCTTTGACGTCAAAAAGTAAACCACCAATGTAAGAGACCAAAATAAATAATGCCTTATCCATTCACTGCACATTCCAGAAAAGACCCTGGTTCTGGGCAGAAGACCCTGGTTCTTTGCTCTGTCTACCCGCCGCTTACTTTGTTGGTCTTTTGTTCTGTTTTTGTTGCTTTTCTCTATCAAATCTTCCTCTGCAAAACCGACATCCAGGACAGAAGCCGTAAATTGCTGCAGGATCCCCATTTCTGCCGTTGTGACGGCACCGCTCTGCTCGCTTTCCCAAATGCAACCGATCTTCACCGGCTGCAAGATGCGGAATCTCTTCCCCTTGGTGATCAGCTCGTCCCACTCCTTGGCTTTCAGCTTCTGCCGGGCTTTGTAGTTTTCGGGATCGCATTCCTGGGTAGGGAGGGAGGGAGGGAAGGAGGGAGGGGTTTAACAAGAGCACAGACTTACATACCGCTTCACAGCCCTCTCTAAGTGGTTTACGGAGTCAGCCTCTTGCCCCCCAACAATCTGGGTCCTCATTTTACCGACCTCAGAAGGCTGAGTCAACCTTGAGCAGGTGAGATTCAAACTGCCAAACTGCAGGCAGCTGTCTGCAGCAGAAGTAGCCCTGCAGTACTGCACTCTAACTACTGTGCCACCGTGGTCCCTGATGGGAGATTAAAAGGCTCAGCAGACTCACAAACAAAGATTAAACTGACAACTAGTACATTCCAAAGATTCAGCCAGCTTCATCTATCAGGTAACTTGGAGGGATGTCGATGGATTCTCTCAGTCATGGCTGTCCCAAAAAGGTGCTTTTTCTCAAAAGACAACTGGAGGGGGAGAGTGTGCAGCACAGCTGGACTCAGATCTCTTGTGGACACGAAGGGTCTCCAAACTTGATGTGCTTAACCAGCCTGGTCCACTCCTACTTCTGGTTTCTGACCCCTGCTTGTACAGGTAGTCCTCAGCTTACAACAATTGAACCCAAAGTTTCTAAGCGAGACATTTGTTAAGTGAGTTCTGTTCCCATTTTATGACCTTTCTTGCCAGTTAAGCGAATCACTGTAGTTCTTAAGTTAGGAACATGGTTGTTAAGGGAATCTGGCTTGTCAGAAGGTCGTAAAAGGCGATCACGGGACCCCAGGACATTGCATTCGTCCTAAATATGAGTCAGTTACCAAGCGCCTGAATTTTGATTATGTGACCATTGAGGATGCTGCAATGGCCGTAAATGTGAAAAACAGAAGTCCCTTTTTTCAGTGCCAATGCCACTTTGGTCAATAAATGAACTGTTGTAAGTTGAGAACTACCTGTAATATCAGCCCCACCCCCCATCCCCAATAATGGTTGTGCCTATGTAACACAAACCCTGTCATGTATCTGATACATGTAATCCATTAAAGCTTACATGGTTTTCTTCTCAATCTTAATTTTTACTCCTTTTTAATTTTACTGATGCAGAATCAGATACGGAAGCTCAATATAGCTTCCCAAATTAGTGGATTTTAACTTCTGAGTTGCAGCCTTTTGACAGAAATTGTCTCTGGCTAGCAATCCTGAGGGCTACAGGTAGTCCTCGACTTATGACAGTTCGTTTAATGACCATTAAAAGTTACAATGGCACTGAAAAAAAAACACCATTTTTCACACTTGCAACCGTTGCAGCATCCCCCGGGGTCAGGTGATCAAAAACCCAGGTGCTTGGGAACTGGCTCATCTTTATGACGGTCGCAGAGTCCTGGGGTCAAGCGATCCCCTTTTGCCACCTTCTGGCAAGCAAAGTCAATGGGGAAGCCAGATTCACTTAACAACCGTGTGCCTAGTGTCAGAACTACAATGATTCGCTTAACAAATGTGGCAAGAAAAGTCATAAAACAGGGGCAAAACTCATTTAACAAGCTTCTCACTTAGCAACTTCGATTCTGGGCTCAACTGTGGTCGTGAATCAAGGATTACCAGTTGAGGTAGACCAACATCTACAGTATTAGCTATTTTTCCACCTTCTCAGCCTTATGGAAATCTCCTTCCCTTTGGGGCTTACTTCAGTCCCGCCTTCATCCTCCGAAAGGTATCCATGGGGAACAAAAAAGCCATCGTCATCATCTTCCTCCTCTCCACCCTCTTCTTCCTCATCCTGAATGACAGGAAAGCAGGGAGAGATTACAAAGCGGCTTTGGAAGAACATCTTTCTCTAAGAACAACTTCAGTGGCAGATCTTTCGAAAAAGGGCTGGTTGGGAAGGAAAGGGCATTTTCGGTTGTGTCAAGACGTTTGTGGTTATTTGTATATGTTCTGTACAAGATTAATTTACGCACAAAAACGGAAGGACAAATAGCTGCAAAAGTTGATGGAGTTAGCAGAGGTGACAAAATTGACTGTTTTGATCAAAGGAAAAAACAACAACCACCACAATTACTTGTTTCTACTTGGAAACCACTTCTGGACTTTGTGCTTGAGGTGGTGGGGAAAAATGACACTTTTGATTTTGGGTTTTACTGATAATATAATAATAATAATAATATAAACTACCCATTTCTACAACAACAAATCTATCTAATTTGTTGTTGTAGAAATGGGTAATTTACACTAATATGGAAAAGTATAAAGTGGAGGTTTGATGTTATTTTATTCTACTGCACCAAAGAGAGTCGGAACTCAATGCCTTTTTTTTTCTTTTTTTTTCTCTACACTTCTCTTTTCCCTTTTCCCTCCCTCGTTTTTCCTACTTGCTTTCCTATTTTATAATAAAAACTCTAAAAAAAAAAAAAGAGGTTTCTGGGTCTTTGCCATTTCCGAAAGAAATGCATCTCTCACATTTAGGACCGAATTTCCCCTTCTCTCCTCCTCACCCTCCCCTCTCTCAAAAAGGTCTTCAGGCACATATCAGAGTTTAAAGAACAGAGACAGATTCCAATTATGGGGCAGCTTCAGTTGGAAAAAGTCACAACTCAGAATTGGTTTGATTCACAAGGAGGAAACTGCCCTTCCAGTCACCCATCGATAGGGTATTTTTCACCCCCAGACATATGGATCCTGATGGCAAGTCTAGATTAATCATGCCGGAGAGCCAGTTAGGTGCAGGGATTAAGGCCTCTGGCTAGAAAGCAGGAGACTGAGTTCTAGTCCTGCTTCAGACACAAAACAGACTGGATGACTAGTCAGTTTCTGTTAGCCCTAGGAAGGAGGCAATGACAAACCGCTTCTGAAAAACCTTGCCAAGAAAACTGCGGGGACACAACTTAATGTAAAAAAAAAATATTTCCCCCCCCCCCTGTCTATTACTGTTCCAGTCGTCTTCTCCCAGAGCATCAAGGGATGGGAGTATGTGGCCAACTGCGGGTGACCAATTTCTATGCCTGATTCCAGATGTTATCTGCAACAACCTCATCTTCTTTTAACGACCCCATAATCCCTTGCAGGGTGGAGTCCGGGCCACTGAACGGAACTGAGTGTTTCCTGGCCCGATGCCCTTCCTGTCGCCAATGAGGAATTTTATTCAGCAGGTATATATTCTCGTGGTGCCCAGACAGAGGAATATCTGCCTCTCCCTAGGATCCGACTCGCAGCCTCCTGACTGTGAGGCGAGAGCTCCGCCACGAGGCCAGCGCGCCGCTCCATGTGACCTGCAACATTTCAACCGCTACCCGGTTTTCCTCCCAAGAAGAGTTTTGTCACTGAAGGAGAGAGGCGCACGTTGCTGCTTCGGGAAAAGGCTTAGTCTTACCCCTTCGCTGTGAGAGAGGGACTCCCCCGGTTCCTCCTCCTCCCACTCTTCGTCACTCTCAACTTCATAGTCCAGGAGCTTCTGCAGGGAGAGAAGCAAGACCATGCAAGCTAAGCAAGAGAAGCTTCCAGAAGGACCGTGCGCAACGGAACGGCGAGAGATACCGATTTCCAACAGCATTAATGGCAAAGGAGAAACACGGAATCCTAGAGCTGAGAAAGGTCCTAGAAGTCACTGAATTCCAATATTTGAGGGGCTGCCACAAAAAAGAAGGGGGTCATATAATTTTCCAAAGCACCTGAAGGCCAGACAAGGAATAATGGGTGGAAACTAATCAGGGAGAGAAGAACCTGGAATGAAGGAGAAACGTCCTAACAGTGGGGACGATTAATCAGTGCAACTCCTTGCTTCTAGAAGTTGTGGGTGTTTCATCACTGGAGGTTTTTAAGAAGAGGCCGGACAGCCACTTGTCTGAACTGATAAGAGGGTCCCCTGCTTGAACGAGGGATTGAACCAGACCTCCAAAGCCCCCCCCCCCCAACATTTCGATCTGCTAATATTGCAAGATTGCAGGGGACTCCAAAGTTGGCAACTTTAAGACAGGTGGACTTCAACTCTCAGAATTCCCCAGCCGGTATGGGATGCTTTCTTCCCACAAAGGTTTACTAAGCTCCTCCTCCCACCGATACCCGCTTAGCCCCAACAGCCTTTGGACCTGTTTGATGCTCCCAGCTTACCACGTCTTTGGCCCAAGGGTTTCGAGGCCTTATCGCGGACGTTCTCTTGTTCCACGTGCCCCAGTAGGCAGGCCGGTGATTCTCACAGAACTGCAGGAGTTTCATTCTGCCGAATTTCTTCCTTTCGGGGACATCTTCTGCCTGGCTGCTACTCACAATGACCACATCGCTGTTGAACCAAAAGAAGAAGAAGAAGAAGAAACAGGGCGTTCAATCTTTGGTGTCGCCCACCGGGTTGCAAGACAGCGAAAGAAAGGAGGGGAGGGAGGAGAGGAGAGGGGAGCTGAAAGCCCTCCTTGATCTCCACTGAAACGAAGTTCCTAATTAATACCGGAATAATAATGCTTGACTAACAAGAAAAGGACTTTTGTCCACTTCCCCAGAGAGGCTTCAATTAAAACTGAACTAGTGAATTGTGTCACAGCCAAAAGGAATGAGTGAAAGTTAAGGAAACAGGTGTGCTGCAAACCACCCCAGATCAAAGAGGAATGGGGGAGGGGAGGGGAGACAGACCAGTGAGAGGGAGGGGACACTAAAGCTTTCTATACTAGGTGCATAGAAATGCCAGAGATGCCCTGCTGTGAAAACATCTGGGAAGGATGACTAAGGATTCACAGATCACAAAGCACACCCCTCTTGCAGCAGGGAAGTTGTGAGTACACAGCAGTGTGCTTGCAGCGAAGACAAGCTGAAACTTCAAAGTTGAGCAAGGGAGGGACATCTTGAAATGGGTCTCCGCACCCGAGCGATATACGCAGGGCACTCTCAACATCAGGTGAAAGTATCTCCACGGATGGACTGTGGAGATTCTCAGTCATCCAGGTCACGGTTATCCCAAAGGTGCTTTTTTTTTTCTCAAGAGGCAACTGGACTTTCTTGGCTTTTCTTTGAAGACAAGACGGGGAGGGATAGGATATCAGCCAGGGTGACGCAGTGGTTAGAATGCAGGACTGCAGTTTGGCGGTTCAATTCTCACCAGGCGGAAGGTGGACTCAGCCTTCCTTCCTTCCGAGGTGGGTAAAATGAAGACCCAGATTGTTGGGGGCAAGTGGCTGACTCTGTAAACTGCTAAGAGGCGGCTGGAAAGTGGCATATAAGTCTAAATGTTAGTGCTATTGCTATCATCTATCTCCAGTCTACAACACGGTCCTTTCAGCAGTTCCAAGGAGGCTCCACACCCATTTGTACTACTCTGGTGACCCTGAGGACACAGATTCAACTCCAAGTAGCCTCAACCACTCTTTTCAAGGGATGCAAATGACCAGCTGTCTGCAAGGAGTATAAATCCTTCCATTCCCCAGAGCTGAAGAAGCTTCTTGGATGAGAAGCGAAACGTCTTCAAAGAAAAACCAGAAAGTCTCCAGTTGCCCATTTATTCCTACTTTGGGTTACAAGTTCCTAGAGACCCAGCAGCTTGTCCTTTTATTCCCGAACTATTATTTTTTATCCAAAGTGTGTTTGCTAAAACCACACCTGTCCTATGGCTGACCTCCTTTCCAAAAAGAGTAGCTAACCTGTTAATCCCGTCAGCGCTGGGGCTGCCGACAAGGGTGGGCTCCGATTTCCTAGGGTCCCGACTCTTCAGCTCTTCCAGGAAAGAAGAGTCGCAGCTCTGCTTCTGCACCGACCTGTCCATTCGGTCGGAGAGGCCCTGATCGAAGGGCACCCGGCAAAGGGGAGAAAGGACCATGTTCTCCTTGATCTCAAAGGGAGCAAACTTCCCACACCAGCCTGCCAGAGTCTGAAAACAAAGAGGACAACTTTATTACGCCGCTCCCCTTGGAACACAACGGGTACGATGCAAGTTTTGTCCTTGAAGCCCAGGAACTTAAAAATCAAATCACACCCTTAAAAATAAAATATGTTACCATTCTGAGGTCAGCATTTTGCTGCTGAAGGCAAAGTCTAAACAGAAGAACCATCACATCCCAGTTAGGTTGTTTTTACACAGAAAGTTGATTATGCTTACACGTAATCCCCCGATTTACAACCATTCGTTTAGTGGCCGTTCGGAATTATAATTCATTGAACAAAGTGACTTGTGACCATTTTTGACCCTTACAACCATTGCAGCATCCCTGTGGTTATGGATGGAGATGGTCAGGAAGTGATTCATATTTACAACGGCTGCAGTGTCCTGGGGTCACCTGATCCTCTTTTGCAACCTTCTGACAAGCCAAGTCAATGAGGGGAAGCCAGATTCCCTTAACAGCCATGTTACTAATTTAACTGCAGTGATTCACTTCACAACTGTGGCAAGAAAGGTCGTAAAATGGGGCAAAACTCACTTAACAACTGGCTTGCTTAGCAATGGAAATGTTGGGCTCAATTGTGGCCATAAGTCAAGAACTACCTTTTTTAAAAAAAATTGCAGGTTGCTTATACATCCTGATGGGCTGTGCAACATTCTGACTGTGGGGACCTGGGCCTGCAACTCCTTAAATTCCCTTATCTTAGCTAAATTGCAACAGTCGGGCTATTTTGGCACACAATTCTGCTAATAGTTCCTGAACCTCACGACGACCTTCTAGTTCAGGTAGTTTAGGGTGTTGCCCAGGAAAAACACAAATAGTTTTAAACACCTCAACGGTATATACAGAAATGGTTAGAAAACTTACTTTTGGAGCCGGCTGGGTTTTTGGTTTTTGAAAGAACCGGGTGATTTCAGCCTTCTCTGCTTTGAGGCGCTAGAATTAGAAAATTGACAAGATTATATGCTTCCATCCACAAGATTAAGAACATCGTTGCAAACAAATCCTTCTCTAACACCGAGAAGGCAAAACGTTGGGTGATGTCCAAAAGCACTTCTTTTGAGCTTTGTGTTCTTGCTGAGAAAGAAAATGGGCTGCTGGTTTTACCTTCTCTTCTTCTTTTAAGCGTTTTTCTTCCTCCTTTTTTCTTTTCTCTTCTAATTTCGCCCTTCAAAATAAAGCCCAGGTTTAGGAAAATATAATCCCGGTGTCATTCCTATGCATGTTTTCAAGTTGCCACCCGGTTTACGAAAACATAAGCATTGGGAGCGTTCAGCTGTGACTCAAATATTCCCTGTACCCCAAAAGGGTGTTCCAGTCCAGGAACATTTTGCAGATTTATTTATTTTTTTGGGTGGGAAAAGCTTCCATTTGAATTTCTAACTCAAATCCATTTTATGATTAAGTGTGGTCCAAGAGGCAGCCTTGAAAATATCCATCACAACTGGACAGCAAATTGCAATGGAGCACAGATTAGACCTTACAACTTGGGTGAGATATAAGGAAGGAAGGAAGGAAGGAAGGAAGGAAGGAAGGAAGGAAGGAAGGAAGGAAGGAAGGAAGGAAGGCAGGAAGGAAGGAAGGAAGGAAGGAAGGAAGGAAGGAAGGAAGGAAGGAAGGAAGGAAGGAAGGATGTCAGCCACGCCAACTTGGTAAAGACTCTTGAATTCATTGTTTACTTAAGTACAATTTACTAAAGTTACAATGAAAGCAAAGCTGGATCTAAACTTTCACATCCAAATCATCTGGTTAACTTTTCCTTCCCCTCCCCCCAACTGTCCAATTACATTCAAACAACTTGTTTTTATAACATAGGAAGGAAGGAAGGAAGGAAGGGAGGGAGGAAGGGAGGGTCATCAGTGGTACTCCAAACACCATTAAAGGAAAGCAGCCAATCAGTAGAAAAGGATCCTATCAATAGAAAACAGCAACCAATTCCAGCTAGCAGAATCCCAATAGCACATGCGATTGGAACAAGGAACAGCTATGTTGATAGACATCAGGTGACAATTTACTTACTCCAGAGCTTCCTGCCTCTCTTTCCGTTTTTCTTCTTTTGCTCGTTGCTTTTCAGCTTTCTCTTTTTCATCTTTCTCCTTTTTCTCCCTCCTTTCTTTATCCTTCAGCTCCTTCTCTTCCTCTTTCTTCCTCTTTGTCTCCTCTCGGGCACGTTCCTTTGCAACCTGGGCTTCCTTTTTCAGCTGTCTCTTCTCCTCCCGTTCAGCTTCCAGCTTCTGAAGTTTTTCTGCACGCTCTTGGTCCTTTAAAATAAAAGAGAGAGAGAGAGAACAGAAAAGACTTTTAGGGGGAATTCTTGACCCTGTCATATCCCCGCAGTAGAGCAGTGCAATATATATTAACAGGCAACAGGTTGCCTCAACTTACAACCTTCCTTTTAGTGACTGTTTCAAGTTATATAATAGCACCCTTCTTCGCCTTGGTGTCAACACATCACTCGAGCCATTAAATGGGACCCACCCCACTCTGCATTGCCCAGGCCCGCTGGCAGAACCAGGTCCTCAGTGCCTTCCAGAAGAGTGTTAGAGTGGGAGCCATTCTAAAGTCCGGAGGGAATGACGTTCCAGAGAGAAAGGGAGCCACCAGGGAGAAGGCCCTTCTGGGTCCCATCAGGTGTATCTCCCTAGGCTAGAGGATGGGACCCGCAACATTTCTTGCCTTGGTCACTGAACAAAAGGTTATTAAGGGGAGATTACTGGCATGTTCATAGAGTGAATGAATAAAACCTTCCACATCATAGAATAACAGAGTTGGAAGGGACATGACTGGAGGTTTTCTAGTCCAACCTCCTGCTCAGGACGTACCATAACCCAATGGAAAGGTTTAAACTCGCGCAACTATCTGCATAGCCGATTCATTCTGTCCTCTTTTTAAAATTATCTGTCCTTCAATATTAAAACGAAATTCTATTAACACTGGGAGAACTTCTTTCAAGTATTGGTATAGTTGCCACACTCAAATCCTTTCCTGGTTTGCTACTTTTTTTGTTCTGTTTTTATACCTGTGGGAAATAACATGGCTACTGTAGCTGGAAGGTGGGAAAGACTCAGAACAACACTGTCACTTTGTTAATATTGAAACAAAGAAATAATTAAGTAACTTAAAAGGAGCTATACATTTTGTTTCATGGTGTAACATTCTGCCAACCCTCGCCTTTCTTGGCACTAAATATATTCTTATCCTTATCACTCTAATAGGAGGAAGTTTTCACGGGACTTCTGAAGCTCATTCCAACCTGTCCCTCCTACCCCACCCTCACTTCCAAAATAATTGTTCCTGTAGTTTCCTCAAAGAGTCTTGCTTTTAAAAAAAGGTATTAGTTTTCAGCAAAAGATAAAACACAAAAAAGCAAAACAGAGATGAAAAAATAAGTAAGCAAAATCAAGAGTGCAAAATAAGGCAAAGAAAGAATAAATCCCAACTTTTTTCGGTACAGATGCCGATATAAAATACATTGATCTCATATTCTAAAACAAACAAGGTATTTCGATAATCATAAACTGTGCGAATCATCCAATCCCAAAATTAAATCTTAATTTCTTTCTGTTTCTAGCAAGAGGTCCAATAATGGTTTCAAATAGAAACAAAGATCTTTTCTTTAGACAAAGCAGTCCGTTTAAGAGGTGCCTTGCTTTGATTGGAAATTATACCATCCAACCCCATAACAGACTAAAAACATCCCCTGTCCCACTTGACCCTGGATATTACCAAGTCCACAAATAGTTGTGTCAAACAACATCTTTGATTATACAAAGTGGCACTTCCAAAGTAGCATTTTAGCCATAAACACCTGGAAGACATAGGATGATGGAAGAGGCCTTTTAAGCCAGGCCACGTTCAATCTGATTTAATATTGTCTTTCCCAGAATTTAAGTCTTTTCTGGCCTAGCTGGAGATGTCGGCATAAGAAACTAGGACTTTTTCTGCCTGCAGCTCTGCTGAGCTGTTTCGGTGGAGAAAACTTACAATTTATTAGAGATGTGCATGCGTGGAAAACGCTGTGGAACCAGAACTTCAGACCTCAAAAAAGTAGAAAATCTGTTACTCATTAATGCAGGCATTTCTCAGGCTTCTGGGCTTGAACAGCCAGAGTGCCAAAGTCACTGGTGATGTGTCACCATCTCTGAGCAACCAGAGATCATTCTTCTCCAGGATGATGACCGGTAATTAAAGTAGATCAAATTTTAATGAGTTTTCACGAAAGCTTTATAAAAAACAAACCCTCAGGCTGCTTCAGTGATGACCAAAGAAATACTGTCATTAAAACTATTTATTACTGTCTTCTGCATCACGTTCTTAAGTCTGCACACTTTCACTTTTCAGCAAGTAAATTCAGTTAGTCTCACCCTCTGTAGCTTGAGTTTCTCCTTCTCCTCAGAACTTCGATGGACCTTTGAAGAAGCCTGAAATGGGAAAGATGGAGCAGGTTATGCCATCAACATTTCTTTCAAGCAATCAAAACGGAGCCTAGGATTTATACAGAGCACAAACCATAATGGGGGGTCTGGGGTCATGAAAGCCCTACCCTTCTGCAAGCTGTAACTTACAGCGTAATTCAACAAACCATGATTAAAAGAATTGTGGTTCAGCAGAGTGGTCCCCAACCTTTGCAGCATGGCAGCCCGCCTGGAGGGTGGAAAGGAGAGGAGAACTGGGTCGTGCACTGGGCTGGTGCACATGCAGGCAACCCTTGCACGAGTGGTAGGCTGGTGTGCACACATGGGACTGCCTGCCGGCCCATCACTCAAGCAAGTTGAGCTGCATGTGTGCGCGCACTTTGGCCAACCGCTCACACGGCCGAATTCCGAATAGGCCACGGGCCGGTGGTGAGCTGTAGCCGAGGGATTGGGGACCCCTGGTTTAGCATGAAGCGTGAGTCAGACCAAAGAGTCATTTTTGGCATGTTTAAAGACGGACAGAAGTATTATGGCATAATGCAGTGATCTGAATTCCTCATCTGTATTTTAAGAAAGCAGAGGAAACACAGAGAAACACTGACGGCAGAGTCAGGTGAGGTTACACCCATCATCTTCAGAAATTCTAACATTAAAAAAAAAACAATTTTAGGTAAGGCGATTAAAAAAGCAACTTTGAGATATGAAATCTGCAATGAATTCCAGCCCTGAAACATGGGTAAGGAAACCAAAAAGCCCTCCTCAATCAGAGACCGGCTGGGACTACACCTCTTGTTCTGCAGCTACAGGGAGTTTTCAATTTATGATCACAATGGAGCCAGGAATTTTGATCGTAAGTTGTTGGGGGTCATAAGTCGAGGTACCAACTGACTGGACTCAAGCTTCCAACCATTTTTATAAGAGTCATAAGCTGAGTCACCATGGCTGTGAAGTGAATCTAAAAAAAGTCTATATGAATAAATACGAGTTTCATTTTGTCATCATGGCAAACAAGCAAACTAAAAATACTTATTTGTAATAGGGTTTAAATTTGAATGTTTTGGAGGGTGATGAAAGGATGGAGAATTATGTTCTGCAATGTTTGAGGGTTGCTATTCTGGCTATCTTTCAAATGAAAAAATAACCCTGCCTCCCAATTCTACTTGAATAGAATAAACCTGAGAAAACATACCCTCTTTAACTTTAAACAGAGCCAGTAAAAAAGGTAATTTTGGGAGCAGTAGAGAACTAACCCAACACAATTTGATCTAAATTTATATGAAGGCAAGAATCTTCTCCAATTCTTTCCGTGAAGGTTGTTAATTCCAGTCTTGGACCCATTAAAGATAAAGATAAATAAAGATAAATTTATTTATTGTCATTGTGCTCAGGAACCTGAGAACAACGAAATAAGGTGCTCTTTCGCAACATACAACTAAACAACACCAAAAGATGTATACAAATAACAATATAAAACAAATTAAAACAAATAACAATTTAAAAACTGTACAACCAGGATATATGTGTTAAGACCACCAGATTCATAACTCTGCATTTAACCTGATCACAGCACTTGGGTAAAAGCTATGTTGAAATCTACTTGTCTTGTCTTAGTTGAACAACAACAACAACAACAACAACAAAGGCAGTAAACTAACTTAGAATTGCCACAAGTGCATTCTGTACTGGCACCACGGCTTCCCTCAAAGACTTTCCAATTCTTATTTGAAATCAAGAAAACAAGACTTGCCAGTTAACTAAGTTTTGGCTAACAGAACAATTCACGACTTTGTTTCAAGCTAAGGAAGAGCAACAAACGAATCCCAAAGGCTTGTGAATAAACTACTTCCCAAAAACAATACAGGCCATTCTAAGTATTACATGGAAAGTTTAATGACATAATAGCTATCTTAAAACACACACACAAATATACAATAAGTAACATGCCACGTTGCACAGGCAGTTCAGAGACCCAATAACAACCAGAGAAGTTTTTTTAAAAAAAAAAACACACACACACACACACACACACAAACACAGCAATACAGGACCACTTTGGAGAAGTTGACATGCAACACACTGATTTATGCAATACACTAAGTCAGTAGCAAGTAGACCACAACCTACTTCTTAGTAAGCTAGAAAAAAGTGGAATAGATAGCACCACCATTAGATGGACTCGCAACTGGCTGGCAAACCATACTCAATGAATAGTCCTTAATGGGGTCTAAGACTACATGGAGGGAAGGAAGCAGTGGGGTGCCACAAGGTTCAGTCTTAGGCTCAGGACTCTTCAATTAACGACTTAGATGAGGGAATAGAAGGGGAACTTACCAAATTTGCAGATGATACTAAGCTGCAGAAATAGCTAACACCAAAGAAGATCGGCTCAAGATCCAGAGGGATCTTGACAGACTCGAACCCTGGGCCCCATCTAGCAAAATAAAATTCAATGGAGAGAAAAGGAAAGTCCTACACTTAGGCAAGAAAAACCAAAAATACACATATAGACTGGGTGAAACCAGGCTCAATAGCAGGAACTGGAACAGGGATCTTGGAGTCTTAGTGGACAACCAGCTAAATAGGAGCCAGCCGTGTGCAGCAGCAGCCAAAAAAGCTAATGCAATCCTAAATTGTATTAAGAGAGGGATACAATCGAGATCAAGGGAGGCACTAATACCACTCTATAAAGCCTTAGTAAGACCACACCTAGAGTACTGCATCGTTTTGTTCACCACATTATAAAAAAGATGTTGAGACTGTAGAAAAAGTGCAGAGAAGAGCAACCAGGATGATGAGGCTAAAACATACAATGAATGGTTGCAGGAACTGGGCTTGGCTAGTCTAGTAAAGAAAAGGACCAGGGGAGACATGATAGTGGTCTTCCTATATTTGAGGGGCTGCCCCAGAGAGGAGGAAGGGGTCAATCTATTTTCTAAAGCCCCTGAACGCCAGACAAGGAATAAAGGATGGAAACTGAACAAGGAGAGATTCAACCTGGAAATAAGGAGGAATTTTCTGACAGGGAGAACAATCCACCCATGGAACAGAAGTTGCCCTCGGAAGTTGTGGGAGCTTCATCACTGGAGGCTTTTCAAGAAGAGATTGGACTGCCATCTGTCAGAAATAGTGTAGGGTCTCCCGCTTAGGCGGGGGGTTGGACTAGATGAACTACAAGGTCCCTTCCAACTCTGATTATCTGTTATCTGAATGAACCTTGGCTCACATACAGTGGATCCAGCTGCCCATTTGCTTATGGAGTTAGGTTAGTGTTTGTAATTTTGAAGCCTTTGAACGTTTCTGATTCGAAGGAGGTTTTTTAAGAAGCAAAAGGTATGGTTTTAGCATTGCAGAACACAGGCATAGATGTATACTAGTTAGAAGATGTCTCCTTCTATGTAAATTTCATTTAACATTGTACAGGGATAAATTTAGCAACTGGACTTTGTGCTTTCCACAGTCCATAATCCTCCACTTGCAACCATTCATTTAGTGACCATTCAAAGTTATAACAGCAGTGAAAAAAAGGACAGGACCATTTTTCATATTTAATCTCCAGTCATTGGATTAGAATTGGGATGCTTGGCAAGTGGCATGTATTCATGATGGCTGTACTGTCCCCGGGTCACGTCATCGCCATTTGTAACCTTCCCAGCCGGCTTCTGACAAGCAAAGGCAGTGGGGGTGTAGAGAGTTAGCACCCACCCCTCTCCTAGAAGAATGAAATATTTTGGAGAAATATTAAAAAGGCAGAATATTATATTTCCCTGGATGAGGAATGGGGAAAGATGCTCTTGGAAAGCAGCCCTCACCTTTCTTAATAGCCCACAGATGTCAGCACTTAAGAGATGAGGAGACAGGGAGCTCTATCCGTAAGCAAATACCCTCACCCAAAATCCAACAAAGGTAGGATTAGCCCTCAGCCACAATGGGAGTTGCCCAAAGCCCCTTCATTGCATCAGCAGTCCAAAGTTTAACCAAACTTAGCTCAGACAAACTCCTAGGATTTGCACTTTGCCTATAGAGCCAGCTAAGGCCCCTACAACAGCCAACAGAATACGTGTTCTTGTACAGGAACAGGATGTTCAAGAGCAAAGCCCAAGAGAAGGTATCCAAACCCATCACCCTCAACTCCATGTGGTCGGCTGCCCAGAATCACACATGCTCGGTGGTTCGGCTTCCTCCATAAATGGACCTTCTTTCCAATCAGCCTCCATTTTGTCTCCCGGCTTGGAAGTGGACCTGGACATTTCTTCCAACAGGGAAACCAGATTTGCTTAACGACCGCACGCTTCACTTAACAACTGCAGAGATTCACTTAACTGTCACAAAAAAAGTTGTAAAATGAGGCACAACTCACGGAACAACTCCCTTGCTTAGTAACAGGGATTTCGGGCTCAATTGTGATGGTAAGCCAAGGACTACTTGTAGAGAAAGTACGTCTGTTGACTCAGCATTAAATTCTCTATACAAAGAGTGGATATTATAACAAGGCCTAATAACGCCTTAAAAACAAACATATCAAGCTGTATTATAGCATACAATCCTATTACTCTTCACCTAGTAAATTTTGGCTGGTAGCTTAGACATTCCTACAAAGGAATTTCCAAATTGTTTCCTGAAACAATTTTTTTTTTAAAAATACCGACTTACATTATTCCACTAGAAGTTATCTATAGATAACGTTTAATGGCCATAATTAAGGAAATTCCACACCACAAGCTGTTCACTTTGGATTGTTTCCTTCCCTATCACGCCCACATGGTATCTGTTCTGTGGAACAGCTAGTTCTGTGGAAATTTCCCTGGGGTTTCCTTCAGGGAAACAGAAAATTTTGAGCCTTTGTTCTCAACAGGGGCCACTTACTGTGTTAATTTTTCTTTTATGGATACTAGTGCTATATCGAGAGCCAGTTTAGTGTAGTAGTTAAAATACCAGGCTAGAAACCATGAGATTGTAAATTCTAGTCCTGGCTTGGGCATTAAACCTGCTGAGTGACCTTGGACCAGTCGCTTTCAGCCCTAGGAAGGAGGCAAACCATTCCTGAAATTTTGCCAAGATGACTGCAGAGTCTTATCCAGGCAGCCATCAAGAGTCAACATTGACTGGAAGGCGAGTGGACCTGCAAACACAGCTACTTCATTAATACAATGCACCTCCTGCACTGCAGATTTTCATAGGCATCATTTCAAACCGTATTCCTTCCTTCTTGCGCCCTAAAATCCACTCTCATTCTCCAGATCAAATCCAATAATAGGAGTAATAGATTGAGGCCAGCTCAGAAAATCTGAGCAGTTTTAGTTGTGAGAGTTGGGCAGCATATACATTTAATATATTATTATAATGCAGATGGGCTCAGTTTTCATAGTTTTCTAATCCTGTGTGCTAGTGTGAAAAGATTTCCATTTCATATTACAGGTAGTCCTCGACTTACAACAGTTCATTTAGTGACCAGTTACAACGGCACTGAAAAAAGTGACTTATAACCATTTTTCACACTTATGACCGTTGCAGCATCCTCATGATTATGTGATTTACATTCGGATGCTTGACAACTGACTCATATTTATGACTCACATGATCAGCATTTATAGATACTTGGCAGCAGGCTCATATTTATGACGGTCGCAGTGTCCAAGAGTCATGTGGTCCCCTTTTGCGACCTTCCGACAAGCAAAGTCAATGGGGAAGCCAGATTCACTTAACAACCAGGTTACTAATGTAAGAACTGCAGTGATTCATTTAACAAATATGGTGAGAAGTCATAAAATGGATCCAAACTCACTTAACAAATTTTTCACAACATAAATTTTGGGCCCAACTGTGGTCGTTAAATGAAGGACTAAATGTTTTCAATTCCTAAAACTGCATGATCTTATAAAACTGTTCACCTCTTTCATAAAAGATCTGTCAGCACCTTATCACACTCAGGAAGAAGCCAAAATCAATTTTCAAGTTAAAAAAAAGCTTCATTGTATCTCATATTATTATCTTAGCAGGCTTCTGTTCATGCAACAGGGTTTTAAGAAGAGACTGAACTTGTCTTAAATTGTATAGGGTCACCTTCTAGGGGGCTGGACTGGAAGACCTCCAAGATCCCTTCCAGCTCTATTCTGATTGATTGGTTTCTCTTCAGAGCCTTCTTGTATTCCAAATCTCTTTCCAATTATTTAGAGAAGAATGTGCAGGAATTTACTAAGGAATAATCAGACATTTCATAAGAAGTTGCCGTTCAAATATTTGTCAAGAAAGCTTTTCCTCTGCATAAAACTGCCGTAATATATTCAGTACCTGCTCTCAGCTTCAACTTCACCCAGATTGTCATGCAGAAAAATCTACTGATGTGGCTGCTAAGGGTCAACAACACGAGACATAATCAGTGTTGATTAAACCAATCCATCCTGAATTAATGTACTGTGCAAACTAAGAAAATGGGTTATTTTTATATTACCCAGAGAAAAACTGTAAAATGGCAACATCCAACTATTTTTATCTAAATACAGATAGTTCTCAACACAATTTCCACTGCTAAGCAAGGCAGTTAAGTCATGCCTAATTTTACCGTTTGTTCAGCAAATCACTGGAGTTATTGAATCACGTGGTCATTAAACAACCATTGACTTTGCTTGCTGGAAATCAGCTGGGATGGTTGCAAATGGAAGTCACATGACCACAGGACAGTGTAACCATCATAAATGCATGCTGGTTGCCAAGTGCCTATATTTTAATCATGTGACCATGGGGATGCTGCAGCGGCCGTAAGTGTGAAGACCAGCTGTAAGTCATTTTTTTTCAATCCTGCTGTAACTTAAAACACTCGCTAAATGAATAATTGTGAGCCAAGCCTGTAAAAGCAGAATTTGTTTTAGATCAATGACAAAGGCAAGAGTTAGCAAAAACAGCAATTATCTTCAGACTGCTAAGAGTTTATCTTGTCCAAACAAATTATAGTTAGTCCTTGACGTACGACCACAATTGACCCCAAAATTTCCATTGCTAAGTGAGACAGTTAAGTGAGTTTTGCCCCATTTTACGACCTTTTTCTACAGTTAAGTGAATCACTGCAGTTGTTAAGTGAGTGACACCTTTGTTAAGTAAACCTGTCTTCTCCCATTGACTTTGCTCGTCAGAAAGTCGCAAAAGGGGATCACGTGACCCGGGGATATTGCGACCATCGTAAATACGAGTCAGTTGCCAAGAGTCTGAATTTTGATCACGTGACTGTGGGGATGCTGTAATGGCCGTTAAGTGTGAAAAATGTTCCTAAGTCACTTTTCTCCGTGCTTCTGTAACTTTGAACAGTCACTAAACCGTTAACGGTTGTAAGTCGAGGACTAACTGCAATATTGGCCACGATGTGGCTTTCCCACAAGGGACACTAACCTTCCACACCGGTGTTGAAGCAGCTAGTGGATTAACGTTGTGCTCCTTGGTCGCCCGAGACTCAGGGGAGCTGGTGAGAGAGACAGAACTTGAGGAGGAATTGGTACACGGCGTCTCCTCTTCGGGACAGGACTCCAGGGTTTCGTTTTCAGAGTTTGTGCTTCTTTCCAAAGCTGCAGCTTGAGGAGATCTGCTGACCAAGATGTCCTCCAGAACCACGACTGGCATTTTCCGTTCAAATATGACATTCTGAGGTTTATCCTCTGTGGAAATATTAGTTTCTAGCCCAGTGGATGCCGCGCTTGGTAATTCCTTATCTGTTATATCTAAGCCGGTTTCTAAACAAGGATCCACCTCCTGGGCGTTGCAAGAGGAATCTGGGGACGTGGCCTGGCCTTCTTTCTCCTTTGGGGTTCCCCCCGGAGATGCTACTCGGACGCTGGACTCGGTGCGACCCGTGTCCTCATCCAGCCTGTGAGGAGGGTCATCCGTCAAGTCTATGAAGAGCCGAGACTGACTTGTATCATTTTTTATACTTATCTTCACAAAGTTATCTAGGGGACCCTTGCCATTAACCAGTTTTGGAACAAGGGATTCAGTTTCTTCCTCGCAACTGTTTTCCACATTGTCCGACAATGGATGCGGCGAGTCAGGGTAGGCTGCGTTTTGATCGAGGGCGTTCTGCACGCTCCTGGCTTTTTTCACTTCGGGATTTGTGTCGTTTTTCTCCTTTGGTATGGGATTCAAGCGTTTGAAGGGCAGTCGAGCTGGAATAATAAGACCGATAAAATGAATATTATTGCTATTTAATTTCTGCGGCTTCCCATCTCATCTAAGCAGTGCTGGGCAGCCCACAACAGATAAAAGCAACAATCCGATAAAACCAGTTTGAAACAAACCAATACACAAACATATAAAGCGATCAACGATCATTGTAAAGTAATAATCATGATCAACAGCGGCATCCATTTTTTAATCAGCTCAATCCCTGGGGTAGTTTACAACTGATTTTTATTTCCTACCTCAAATTGTGTGTAACATGCAGATCCATCTCCTTCATAAAAATGGAAAATTAAACAACCAGCATCACACTATAGCCTATATGGGGTAGTATGCTTGGCATATATTAAAGTACTTGATTCCTTGGGCCAGTCTCTCTCTCAGCCCAACTCACCTCATAGAGTGGTTGTTCTTGGGAAAATAAGACTATTAGGTAACCGCTTAGAGTAGGGGTGTCAACTCCCATTGTCACGTGACGTATCGGGACTTTTTCCCCCTTCGCTAAACTGGGCGTGGCCAGTGCACGACGCATCCATCCCGCGGGCTGGGAGTTTGACAGCCCTGGCTTAGAGAGTGCTGTAAAGCACTGTGAAGCAGTATATAAGTCCAAGTGCTATTGCTATTACTCTGCTTGCAACCTTGAATTATATAAAAAGGCTGAATAAAAAAGTAATGATGTTACCTAAATCAAATATCAATATTTCCTAAATCAAAATATATGTATCTTTCTGGCACAGGACAGTCTCTTGACATCTGATCAAGAAAGGAATCTTGAAGAGGAAAAACAATGTCCACTAAAAGCTACAAATTCCTCTGAGAAAGGAAAATGTTACGCGGGATCATGAATGGAATTTATCACCCAACATATGCTTGATAAAAAAAGACTACTATTGAGATAAGAATGCTACCAAATGGTGTTAAGACTAATTCACAACCTTTTCCTTTAGATGGACTATCACCAATATCATCAAAAGCTTTAGAGGATTATCACACAAGCTAAAAATCAGCAATGGAAAAAGCCTGCAGATATTATACATAAATCTTTTTCAACTGACATCCAAACTCCAAATTAAATAAACATTTTATTTTTCAATATCACAAATTAGCATTGTTGCCAAATCCCTTGAGATGTTTGTGTTCCCACTTACACAAATAATATTTTGGTTGCTCAACACCCATATCCAGGGCTACTTAAATTGTCGGGCTCTTGAGGGAACTGAGGGTTATTCTTTTTCACACAGAATTCTTCCAGGGTTCTCAGTTAGCAAGATTTATTGAGAAAAGTTTGGATTACAAGAATTCTAGCAAAACTGTTTTCCATTTAAAACAATTATAGTTTCATGTATACTGTGGCAGGGTGTGTGTGGTGGGATGTGGTTTGGAGTCCCAGGAGGGAGGGGCTGCTTCTCAGAGGGCAAGGAGACATGAAGCTTGGAAAAAAGTCTGTTAGGCTGGAAGAGGGCAAAAACGGACCCTCCCTATCAGTTCACAGATGTATCTGTAGTTGTGCAGATAATGGTGTGAGTCTGGCAAGATTCTATCTGTAGGCGAACAAAACTACTCAGTCTTGGTTTGTGACACTTGACAAAAGTTTCTGATTGTCTTTCTGCCAGTAATCCATCAAGGAGATAGATCTCCTCACTAACAATAGAGAAGCTTGTGACTCTACTATAGTTAAGATTATAGTCCCCAGATTCTTTGTCAGTCTGGCAACCAATATTTATGGATGTATTCTCAGGGCCCATCAGTGGACCCTGGACCACAGATAACTGAATTTGGATAGGAGGAACAAAAATGTATAGTGTAAGGCTAAGGAGTGCAGGGTTCAAAGGTGGACATTTTTTTCCTCTAGTAAAATACCAGAAGCTGGAGTCAGCCAAAATAACTATACTGAGAGAAACTGAACAGGTATTCTTTTTTTTTAAAAGGGCATAATTAAACCATGGAATTCACTTCTATCAAATGGAGCAATGGCAACTCGGATAGCTCTGAAGGGGGATTAGACAAATTCATGGGAAAACAAAGAGGTTGAAGGCTGCGAAGGATGGCGGATACACACTATCATCTATATCGCAGTCATTGAAACTTCTTGGTAGGAGTCGCTAGGGAACACAAGTGGGAAAGTATCACACTGGGCTTCCCCCAGCATTTGCCTGAACAGTGTGGTGGGAAGATGCTGGATGAGAAGGGCTTTTTTGAAACATAGGAAACTGGGGACAAAAGGAAGACCTTTTTTGAGAGCACATGTATTCTTCAAGTCAGCAGAGCCTTGTAGAACATGATTTAAAATTTAACTAAGCCTAGACTAGGGGTGTCAAACTCGATTTCACTGAGGGCCACAATGGGGTTTGATCTTTTTTTGGGGGGGGGGGCGGATGAGCGTGGCCAGCTTGATGTCACTTGCGCTGGGGCGCCTGTGGAGGCCCAAGCACTCTGCCAGCGAAAACGGGCTCCTGAGCTCCGTTTTTGGCTACAACAGCCTCCTGCAACCCTCTGCCAGTGAAAATGGAGTTCAGAAGGGCTGCTCTCCGGAACTCCATTTTCGCTGGCAGAGGCACCACTGGCTAGTCCTTTGCTGTTTCCAGGGCAACCCCTTGGGCCAGATCTAAGCACTCTGCGGGCTGGATCCAGCCCCCAGGCTTGAGTTTCACAGCCCTGGCCTAGACTCTACTATAGTTTCTCAATCTGAAATAATTTTTTGATTCGGCCTTCAGTTAGAAGGAAATATTGTTGAATGCTAAAATTATGTTGTATTTTGGGTTTTGTCTCTGTAAGCCATCCACAAATCTATTAATAGCCATGCAAATATATCCAAACTTTATTGACAATTAAATTTACTACTATTAAGGCACAGAAAATGCTGTTAATTTAAGACACAGAAAATGCTGTTAATTTAGCTCCAAAAAGGACTTTTGATAACTTCAAAAACATAAAGCTATCAATACCAACTAAGAGCTTGGTGGTTTTGTATCCACCATATTTTGTCTGGAACAAGAGGCAAATAATATAGCTGAATTCAGACATAACATTAAGCAATGTAGTTACTTCCTTTTGACTGATATACGAAGCAGGTTACAGGCCTCATTAAACCATGATTGTGACAAGTTAAATTGAATGATAGTGACAAGAATGAATCCAACTTGGTTATTCCACATACAAAGTATAACAATGTAGTGTAACGTTTGACCTGTTAATATGAGTCCCTAGATTCTTAGGTACAGTGAGCTATCATCACTCATCCCACAGTTCAAGGAAGTACAAGTAGTCCTCAAGTTACAACCATTCATTTAGTGACCATTTAAAGTTACAACAGCAGGGGGGGAAATGACTTGTGACCAATTATTCACACTTAAAACTGTTACAGCATCCCCATGGTCAAATGATCAGAATATGGATGCTGGGAAACTGACTCATATTTATGACAGTTGCAGTGTCCCAGTGACATGATCATCTTTTGCAGCCTTCTGACAAGCAAGGTCAATGAGGAAGCCAGATTCACTTAATAACTACAATGATCCACTTAACTGTGCCAAGAAAGGCAATAAAATGGAAGTCACTTAATAACCATCTCGCAAAGAAAGAGTAATTTTGGCCTCAATTGTGGTCGAGAATTACCTATAGTTTTGAAGGAAATTTAGGCTCCTGACTCCGCAGATGTGCTAATGGTTTTAACAGAGGGGATTATTCTGAAGTCACTGCCCATATCAGTGCTGTTCAGGATTCTGTAGTGCAACAAAAACCAAGGTGGACTGATATCTTCCACCTCATTGAACAAAGTCAATAGAATAGAAAAACAACCGTTCTCCCCCAATGTCCTTGCACTCCAATTTCTGCAACCCCAGGAAAGAATAAAGTTCTTGAAACACAGAACAGAATGCAAATAGTATTATAAATCCAAGAAATATGAAGAGCATAAAGTTGAAGAACCAGATTATATATTTGAAGATGAAACAATGTACCTTGGATTAGTTTCCGGGCTGGAACTCCTGTTTTATTTCGACACTCCATAGTTGCCTAGCAAAGACAAATAATAATTAAATTTCCGCATATGTTCAGAATGTAATATTGATCACTTCCGATTATTGATATTGGCCTTCACCCAATCCTTCTTGTGATCACTCAAGTTCTATCCACCCATAC